GATTAGAACTCCAACTCGATTTCTATAGCTATATCTATATCAAGGCCTAATAACCTCACCTCTAAGATATATCGTGATAATAACTATTTGGCGTGGCTCTAGAGCCTCATTTATAAGGTTGTTTTGGTGAGGCCGCGCGTGCGCGAGGTGGTGGTGTGCGCGAGGTGGTGGTGTGCGCGAGGTGGTGGGGCACGGTAGAGGCAGGTGTGATAGCTCTCTTAATAAGCGTATGGCTGCAGGCTGCTTAGCATTAGAGAGCGGAGTTGTTAAACGGGATTGCAACATCCTTAGCGCCGTGTCTAGCGTCAGCTCACGTAGCGCTATTATATCCTGTGGAGTAAGCGTCTTAGCCGTGTCGCTTTCTGTTGTTGTGAAAATGATAGAACACAGCTTAGATTATAGCAGAAAGTCGGCTAAGTCTGCAGCTTCTGCCGTTGACGAGCCACCATGCTAGACAGTTGTGCCCTCGAAATTGTCGAAGATTAGTAAACACTACCGCGTACTTAGCTTTTCTATATAGCGTTTCACGATCTGCTCTATATCTACCTAGTCACCGTTATAACTAGGAACGCCAAGCTTCTATATAATACTAGTATAGAACTAGTTAAGACTATCTTTATCACTCGCATCGATCTAGAAGACTGAGCAGTGCTTATGTTTCTTTAGTGTTCTATATATGACCTCGAGCGCGAGCTGCGATTTACCTATTCTACCAGGCCTAACTATTATAAGCGTTAAGGTAGTTTATATATTACTAAAGAGCTTCGCTTCTAGTTTAGCGAGCTGTAGTTTGCGACCTATAAAAGACTTATTACGCGCGAACGGAATAATCGATAGTGCGCGGCTGGCTCTCTCCACTTTAGCCTGCAGTCTTTCTAACGCACTCTCCCTTCCTTCGCCATAGGTTGTAGATACAGAGACGCCAAGAAGTCTAAGTAGGTAGTATACTATATCTTCTATTTCGGTCGTTTCGCGACCGCTAACCTATCGCATGCGCTTATCTATAGTGAACTGGTTAAGGGGACAGTTACGCAGCGCTATAAGCGGAATGCTAGTGATACTATATAGTAGTTGGTCGAGAGAGACTTTGTCGCCTATGCGCTGCCCTTCGTACGAGAAGAACTCCACACATGCTGGCGCTATCAGCTCCTACAACGTCCATCCGCGAGTGAACCACTTGCTTCGCTAAAGCGATACATTCCAATCCCTACATAAGATAGATCCTGTCAAGGTTAAGGTCGATACTAACACATCTAACAAGAAAACGTAGCATCGTAGCGCATTTTTATACCACTGGAACATCGAGTTGATCGCCTTCGAGCGCTCGTTGTTGTCCCATCTATCAATGCAGCATGTGTCGATCCAGAAGTACCGCAGCCCATCCTAAGCTGCTTATTCGGCGCAGAAACGTAGCTTTCGATAGCCTTCTTCTTTCTCTTTGTAGTTTCTATTTAATACATCTTCAATAAGGATCTCGGAGTCGCCCCATCGGTGTAATAGAATAGCGTAGGGCGGGATCCGCTTGCCGCGAAAGTCTGTCAAAATCAGGCTACCTAGTGCGTCGAAATGGAGAAGCCGTATAACGCTTGCAGCTCAAACTTTAGTCTAAAGAATTAGAAGCGTAAAAGACTTTGGTAGTATATTAGTGAGAGTAGAATGTTAGTAGGAGTAGAATAGCATCTTTGCGATAAGGCAGAGAAGCCAGCCTAGTAAGGCAGTGCATCCAACCGGGCCGAAGATGCTCTGCATTAAGCGCCAAGCGTTCTGCACTGCCTCCCCTCACTATTTACGCTAAGGCAGTGTTTGCCTTGCAAACTTATGTTAGAAGAGTGCACATATAGGTAAGATGCCAGTAAATAACTATAGCTAACTAACTAATCTACAAAGATTATCGTTATAGCGTCTCGCCTGGCTCTGTACGACGGGGGCGGCTGCTTACCAGCCCGGGAATAAGAGCGGTCTAAGGTCAGGCGATAAGTGGGAGCCGCAGCTCTCAGCCACAGCGCGCAACCCCTCGCAGATATCTCATCACGCTACTGCTACCAAATGTCGCTAAAGTCGCGTGGCCGGTTCGAGGCGTTTTGACGATGTTGTCGCTAGCGCGGAGAAACTGTCGTAATGTACGCTGCTTATATTAAGTCGACTATTTAAGTATGTAGTCTTAATCTTTTCTATCTTAGCTTTCTTTCTAGCCTACCGAGCTCTCTGTAAACGTTAGTTATTACGAATAAACAAGGGGGTATTAGAGGAGAGTCGATGGACGGCACCGACAGAACGAGCGATAGCATGGTTAACAGCACGCTTTTCAGCGTCGGAGGGTGATGCACTAGAAGAGCAAGAGCTGCAGAATGGAGGCGTATTGCATCTGTCTATTTTTAAGTACGTTACGGGCAACCCGAGCATCCGGAAGAAAATGTGTCCCGTCACACCGTGCGTCGCGGCACTGAGGGATGGACGTTATATTCTTAACAAAAGTACTCCATATACGCTTGCAAGCCCACTCAATCCAGACTGGGCTTCTCATTCCCTCATCTATTGAGTATCACCCCCACTTCATTTCCTCCCATCTATCTCCTGCCCCCCTTCACACTCTCCATCCTCCACCTTGCCTCCTCAAACCTCCAAACTGCATCTTCATACTCCCTCTTCTTCCCCTCCATCTCCAACCTCCTAACATTAAACTCATGCATAGCACGCTGTGCCGCACTCACGTCTTTCTCCGTATCCCAACTTCCACTTCCCTCCCCCTTCTCGCCCTCAGGTAGCTCAACCCCCTGCTGCTGCCCATCCAAACCCAAACCCGCACTCCCACCCGCACCACCCCCAAGCTCATCCTGCAACCTCCTAAACAACGGCGTAAAACTACTCAGCACCTCCCCTTCCCCCTCCGCCACCGCAACCGCCGGCGCACAACTCTTCATCGTGACAATCGGAGCCAGTTCCACCCTTCGTTTCTGCACCAGCGACACTTCCACTTCCACTCCCACCTCTTCAACCGATTCCCGCACACTCTCCCCACGCCCCCACATACCACCCTTACCACCCTCCCTCATGGCCTCCACACCCAATATACATGCTCGTTGCTCAACCCCCAACCCAACACAACTCATCTTCCTCGCACTCCCACACGCCTTCTCTACATCCCCCACCTCCAGCATCCCGCCTCCGGCTTGCTGTTCGCCCCGCTCCCGCTTCCGCGCTTGGTAGTAGGTATTCAGCAGGTTGTATGCGCGATCGCGCTGGCCAAAGGTCAAGGTGGAGAGTCGGTGTATGGCGCTGAGGAGCGGGGGTGAGATGTGAGAGGGGGTTAGGCCGGCGAGGAGGGAAGGGGGGATGAGGTGCGGGTCTGAGGGGGGGATGGACCAGTTTTTGCGGATGGTGTGGACGAGCTGTGATGGTGTTGTTGATGTGTCCATTATGTGTGGAGATTTGTTGTGGAGATTTGAGCGGAGATGTTTTTTTCGGGGGGTTGTTGTGGTTTGTTTGTTTTTTTGGTGTTTTGGAGAGGTGTCGGTGTTGGGACAAAGGGGGGGTTTAGATATAGAGGTTGTGTAAAATGAGGCTGAGTCTTTGTTCGTGGGTTGGAGGGGGAATTGTGGCTTTGTTAGGTTGGAGGTGGGAAAACGGATGAGACGGAGGAATGTGAGGGTTTTAGGGACATTGTGCAAATTATGAGGGGATACTGAAAAGAGATTTTTGGTAATGTGATTTAAATCGTATTCGAAGAATGAAGAGTAAGCGGTCTATAAACGAAGATTCTAACATGTAATTTGACAGTCTATAGAATACATGCAATCGAGTAAACGCTAGACAGAAATGGATATAGTACGGGTCATACAGCTTCAAGTCGTGAATGCGAGGCAAAAAGGTCGAGAAATGAAGTCAAGGAGATTTAGAAAAAATCGCAACTCTATCTTCGTCCCAAGGTCAGCTTTGGTGGGTTATGCTCGTACTTACAACGAGCATTTGTGCAGCCAAAGGGGGTACTTTGCCACCTACAAAGCTTACTCGACGTAGGAACCTTTCTCGGGTTCTTCGCTTTGCTGGCGGCTTGGAGGAGTCCTTTCAATTGTTCTTCGAGATCCGTCTGTGATTTAGGGTGGTTCTGGTATTGTTGTAAATCACGTTGTGACCCATCGCTAGAATCGTCTTGGGCGAAGAAGAGCGGGTCATGGCTGTTTTTACATGTTTCACCTGTGAACTTACAGCTGCCTCTGGCGAAGAATGGGCACGGTTTGTGTGCATACTTGCAATTCTGACCTTGATTGCATTTACCAAGCAAGTGATTCTGGCAGGCCTGCTTTCTTTGTTGGCCCGACTGATAAGGTCCTTGGCCGAACCCTGGAGGGGCGTTTAACTGACTGAAAGGAGGACCACCTTGGTGCGAATTGGCATCAAGGACGTGAGCTACAGGAGCAATCTTTTTACTAGAGTTCATCGTGTTTGGGGCGAACCTCACATTTGGCCCACTTGGCACTAATGCAGGCGCATGTATCGCCGGCTGGATGTTTCCAAATGGCGCCTGCCCAGTCATTGGATTCGGATCTTGATGTGGGTAGTCATCAAGACTCATCGAGTCTACATCGGAGTGTTGGTAGGGTTGGGATGGAGCATCAGGTTGCCCAAGGAAGAAGGGGTCGTGACTTCTATTGCACTTTTCCCGATACTTGCAATTGCCACTCAACCAGTGACGGCAAGGCCTATGAGAAAGCCGACATTTCTTGCCACGTCTACATTTACCTAGTTTAAAGTCGCGACAAGCCTCCTTGAAGGGCCTGTACGGGTTTGCATGTTGGTATGCGGTTGTGTCTTGGGCCGGAAGGCTGGCAGATGGGTTAGTGTTCACAGGGTCGAATGTAGCCGGGGCTTGAAACCCATTTAAACTAGAGATGGGCTTCTGGTCAATGTCCATCATGTCAGAAATCTGATCTATGTCCATTGGGGAGTTCCAAGGTTGAGGTGCAGGGAAGCTGCCAGCAGTTGTGAAGTTGCTACTAAAGAGTACATTCGCCAATGTATTAATCCGTTCGTTTGCTTCTGCCAGTATCTGGCTGGTGTTTGCCGTGACGTTGGTGCACCTTGTGCACTCAGCGTCAACCGCGATTTTTATTCGCTCGATTTCGCTATTTTGCCGGGCGATGTGCTCACAATGTTCCTTCCGAATCTGGGATGCTGCTGCGACCCATCTCTCCTCTTTCAGGCTGTTTTCTGCCTTTTGTTCTGCAGAGGTTGCCTCTAACGCACTGATGTTTGTGGTGATCCGCGTACGTGCTGTCTCAGCTCGTTGGAGCTGCTCTTCCAAGAGACCTACCTTGTCTGCTAACAGATCTACCTTGTCTGTCACCAGATCTACTCTCTCTGTCACCCGACTTACCTGATCCATGCTTTGTTCTAGGAGTTTCGTCATTGATTCTGTACCGGCATCATCTTGACGTGGTAGATCTGGTGGGGGCTTGCCAGTGGTCCTCTCATCCTCGTGCTGAAGTGTATCCCTAATTGACGCTTTCAGACGGGCCGAAAGCTCCATGGAAAGGGGTGGGGGATTAAGCCAGGCCTCGAGATCCACGACAGTATGGGTGAGATCGCCAAGAAAGCGGAAGTGCTTGGGGTTTGCGATGAAATCCCGCAACATTGGAAGACAGGCTTTGGGCAGTGGCGTGTATGGCATGATGGTGCGCCACTTGACACCTTTGGCCAAAGACATGTGGAGACCTGAGAGACAATCACGTACAGTAGTGACGACATCGAGATCAACCAGAGAGTTAACCGTGATAATATCTCTGATGAAAAGGAGGTCACATTTGACGGATTCGTAGTGTTTGACAAACTCATCGACCAGTGCGATCTTGTCATGTGTGGATCGGGGGATCATGTTTGCAAGACGAGGGATCAAGTGGCGGGCTGCTGTACCTTTTCTGAAATGCCCCTTGGACTGTGCATAAGCGAACATGCAGGTAAGATCTTGCTGATAGTCGTGTTGGGCATGCGAGGTATAGTCAGTGATGCCAGCTTCTTGCTGGCGCAACATGTGTGCTCCAAAACACATACGAGCCATGTACTAGTGAACGTCAATAGGGTGATGGGGTGAAGAGTATATTTTTTTTTACCTTTGGGTTATATTCGTCCTTGTCATGGCATCTCCTCTTTGAAGGAGCTGGTGAGGAATCGGGGTTAGTCTTTGTGAGATTGTGGTTAGTAAAGCGTAAGCTGGCTGGTGTTTTGTGGGGAAAGAGCATACGGAGATGGAGTTATCAGGAGAGTCTTGCAGCTTCCTCTTGGTGAGCATCTTGGGGAGTTCATGTGTCTGGTATGTGTCGATGCTGGCGTCATTGTCAGGGGTGGGAGGGGCTTGGTCGGCCATTTTGATTCATATGGTGGGGAAGCTGTGCTTTTGGGTACTTTAAGGTGGGATTAGGGGGGCACAGAAGGATAGGGATGGAGAAAGTTTGTAGAGAGTGAGGGCAAGGCATGGTTTTGGGAAAGAGCGAGTGGCTTGGCGGGTGGGTCTGTGTTGTGACACAGTGCAGGTCAGCAATCAAAGAGCAGCGTGTGAAAGACGACAGACGACAAGGGCAGCAAGGCAAACAAGATGTTGTTCACGCAGGGTGAGATGTGGGATGCACAATGCAGGCGTGAAGAAAGGCAGATGTGAGTGTGGTCGAAATGGCTCGCCAATGAGGCGGACAAGGGCTCGGGGGGAAAACATTGGGTGTGCCGGCCTTGTTGTGCGCTACTCACTGTGCTAAGACTGCGACGACAAAGAGGAGAACCCAAGCATTTGGGGTAAGGGAAACCCCGCAATCAACCCCAACACAGCACAGAGCGCCGTGCCTTGGCTAGAACATAGGCCCGGACGCCGGCGCAGAGGGCAGAAGAGGAAACATGTGAGTGTCGATGGACAAGGGTGGCGCAGGGAGGAAATGGAGGAAAGGAAGCAAATAACAAAGGGAAAACGGGGGAGGAAAAAGAGAGATGGAAAAGGCGGAGATGGCGGTGCCGCGGACAACAAGTAACAACAACGACGATGCAGGCGCAGAGGGAGGATGGGCGGGTGGGTGCAGAGTCACGTCGAGAGGCGATGGGGGGAAAGGGGGCGTCTGGCAGGGCAGGCAAGGCGGGCGGCCGGGATAAGGCCTCAGAGTCCGTGGCTCTCAGACAGTGGCAGTCAAGTCGTCCTCGTTGCTGAGCCATGCATGCCCTCACAGCATCGCCAACATGCGCAATCCCGTAGCCTGCGTGTCCTGCCGGTCGGCCAAGCAGAAATGCATCCACGACGACCGGCCGCCGTGCGACAGATGCAAGCAGAGCGGCCGGGCCGACGCGTGCGAGTTCCCAGGTAGGTGTCGCTTGTTGTGTTATGGTCGTGGTCGTGGCCGTGGCCGTGGCGAGGCTGCTGGGCCGTGTGTGTATTCGGATTCTGACCGTGAGAGCAGCGCCCGGCACGAGTGCCATCCACCGCAAGCCCAAACGGCCACGGCACTCTGAAGATGCAGGCGACACACCGCCTTCGCTCGCACATGCAAATGCAAATGCACACCAGTCCACCTCCTTCGCCGCGCCCCAGCAGGGCCGCCGTAATGACGTACCCGTGCCGGTCGGCATCACTGCCGCTACACAGGCCTCGCCGACGGCGGCATCTGCTGCTGCCCTGCTCGACGGCCTCGATCCCTTCGACCTGCTGACCGACGAGGTCAAGAACAGCTATCTGCGATGCTCGTACAAGTGGAGCTTCCACCACACCCCTACGCTGCTGTTGCGCATCCGCGACCGCACCCTCGAGCCATGGATGGCCTGGGCGATGCTGGCGCTCGCCATCCGGTATGTCCGCCCTGCCTGCCTGCCTCGCCCAACACCAACACCAACACCACCGCCAATATGAACCCCAAGCTGACTCTCCCTCTCCTCCCCCGACAGCTTCGTCAAAGACCCTCCCCCGCCCTTCCGCACCCAGACTGAGGCCAGCAATGCCTACGCCGCCCATGCCCGCCAGATTCTGCAGCAGGACCTCGAGACGCCCTCCATCAGCCGCGTCCAGGCCCTCCTCATGCTCACAGGCCACGACTGGGGCGCCGGCAATGGCAGGCGCGCCTGGATCTACCTTGGCATGGCCATTCGCCTCGTCGAGGTCATGGACCTGACGCGTGAAACGGGCATCCCCCGCAACCGCGTCCCGACCCGCGAGGAGTTCATCGAGGCTGAGGTCCGCCGCCGCACCGCCTGGACTTGCTTCCTCATGGACTCGTTGCTGAGCGGCGGCAAGGGCCGCAAGAGGTCATTGGCCGCCTCAGACATGTCCATCCAGCTGCCTTGCGAGCGCGAAGACTTTGTCTTTGGCGAGCCCAAGTGCACCCCCCAGCTCGACAACACGAAGCGCATGCCCCCTGTCGCCCTGCCCATTGGCGAAATCGGCATCATTGGCTATAGCATGCGCGCCGCAAACATATGGGGCAAGGTCGCCCGCTGGGCCTGTAATGAGGATCTCAAAACGGAGCTGCCCTGGTCCTCGTCGTCGCAGTTCCAACAGCTCATCTACGAGCTCGAGGGCTGGAAGTCGTCCTTGCCCCAGCGCCTCCAGTACGACCTCTTTACCATTCATAGCCACAATGCCGTTGAGCAAGGCCAGGCCTACTGCTACATGCACTGCATCCACTTTATGAGCTACATGTTCTTGCACCGCGCCTATCTGCCTGTTCTCGGCCCCCACCAAAATGGCGCCAGCGCCGAGGAAAAGCACAACGCATACGATGAACATCGCGACATGTGGAAAAAGTGGGAGAGGTCTTCCCGGAGGGAGCTGTTCAAGGATGCCGTCATGGTCCTCGACATGCTCGAGGAGATGCGCACATTTGGTGTCTACTTCCTCCGCGGACTAGTCCCTTGGGTCGGCTTCACCATTTATACTGCCGTCGGCGCCATGCTGTACTCTTTCAACTTCCCCAGTGGTGACGATGACCCTCGCTGGCAGGAAAAGGCTCGAAAGAGCGTCATCCAGGGTTGCAACTTCCTCAAGGAGATGAAGACACAATGGCCAATGGCTGAAACATGGGCAAGTACATATGTTATAATAGCATTTGGATGCATGCTAACAAAACCTCAAGTTTGACACCATCAGGCGCATGCAAGCCTACTACCGCTCCGTCCTGGGCCAGGATGGCCCAGCGTCTCCAGAAGAACGCCAGGCCCTCCGCCATGCCATGATTGACTATGGTGCGCTGCAGCCATCACCAGTACAGAAGCCAAATGAGTCTTCTCGAGTCCATGAGTCTTCTTTGGCACATTCGGTCCACTCGCCCACGGATCATCAGATTCATGTGAGCTCTTTCGCATCATTTTTACTAACTCTGCTAACCCCATCGCCAGCGCAAACCCATAATCGCAAACCTTACAAACCCCTCGCAGAGCAGCCCGATGCCTACCACGGCCGCCACGCCTAGCAGTTACACTCCCAATGTGTCCTGGAACACACCACCAGCAGTTCCACCTCTTGAAGCAGATGAGACTTTCAACCTTGATTCCTTTGACCTGACAAACGAGGAGCTCGAAGCCATGATGATGAATGCTACCCAAGAATTCTGGGCCAGTTTTCCAGGCGAGGTTGGCGTTGGTGGATACTAAGTGGTGGGGTTTTGTATTTTCGAGTCAGCGTAAAAGTTCGGCTTTTTTTGTAGTATATGTTGTTTTGGCGCATGAATCTTGTTCACGCAATACGGACAATTATAATATGCATTTCTCTGTATCAATGCAGCGAAAAGAAGGACTTAATATTTTGTCGACATGTCTTCGCTCAGTCTCGATGCATACAGATTGCCTGTTCCGAAGTTAGTTGACGCAAGGCATGGATTTTACCTGAGCATCGAGTATAGTATGTTACTTGAAAAGTATCTCTATCACAGTTCTACATATCAGTGTAGTCATGCCCTGACGCTAGCTAACCTTCGCTTATGCATGCGGGTCTCGATCAGCTATATGCTTTACATACCTGTATAGCCTGTCTTTCCTACTATGTTGCAGTGTCACATCTAGTTTCATTCGCAACGCCATCATACGTATTCCGATTTTGCTGATGCGCATTTTCATCGACTTGAACACTTGACAGCACAGCTGCCAAGTGCAATATTGTAAAGCCTAGCAGAGACGGCTGCTTGGCAGACAGCAAGGTACTCGCTCACGCATGCAAAAACTGGCTTCCTAATTAGCGGACTTGACCTCTACTCGATGCATATACTCCTCTGGTTCATTTAGAAGATGCGATCGTCCTTGCTGCTAATTCTAGTCGGGGTAGCATCGGCTTCGCTTGGAGCTGCCGATGGTATAAGCCAAGCTAGCACAACCCAACATCCCGAAAATGTACCGGCATTAGATATGGACACGACAGCTATTACAGATGCACAGGCAGTACAAAATCCGATGATGATGGGCGCAATGCCATCCAGCAACGTGCCGAGAACAGCCCGTCACAGACATGAAAAAGCTCATCTGATGAAGCGGATGGATCGAAAGAGCGGGAAATGGACAATGAACCATCCACGATACAGACTACTCGAAGCACTTTGGGCATACACTCGATACCGCGAGCGACATATGGCCGAGCTTGATCGATGGCGAACCTTGTACAAGAGCGTGAGCAAAAAGCAGATGAAGGCACGCTATTTAAATTGGCATGGACCTGACATTTGACTAATCGCCTTGTAGACACTAGAAAATACTATTGGGTACAAGAAAAAGCTAGATGAGATTGAAGGATTGATTCTTGCCAACGCAGCCATTTGTAAGGACATGGTCCAGCATGCTATGCAGTTCTACAACATCGAGCAGAAAGAGCTCGATGATCACATGACATTAGCAGAGAAAGACGGACGTCAAGCAGATAAGTTTGCTACGTCCCAAACGCTAAAACACTATGTGCGTGACTGGGCAGACGAGGGTTCGAAGGAAAGAAACGAGGCGTTTCCATGCATCCTGAATACTCTACAAAGTATCAAATCAGAACACCCCGACGACACCAACCTCACCGTCCTCCTCCCCGGCTCCGGACTCGGCCGCCTCGGCCACGACATCGCCAACCTAGGCGGTCCGTCTCCCCCGTCTCCCTTCCTCCCTCCCTTCTCCACTAACCCTCATCCCCCATCAGGCTTCTCAGTAACCCTGAACGAATGGTCCATGTACATGAACATCGGCTACCGCTACATCGACTCCCAACCCACCCCCAACACACTAACCTTCCACCCGTTTATCGACGCCATGTCCCACCACGCCACAAAATCCGACATGCTGCGCCCCATCACCGCACCTAACATGCCACCGCACCCCGACGTCTTGCTCGTCGAAGGCGACTTCACCACCGTCCTCTCCGACAAAGAAGGTACCTTTGACGTAATCGTAACGCATTTCTTCATCGACACCGCGCGGAACCTCATGGCGTATTTCGACACTATCCACCGCCTTTTGAAGCCGGGCGGGCATTGGATTAACTTTGGGCCGCTGCTGTATGGCACGGGCCCTTTTGTGCAGTTGAGCTTAGAAGAGATTGTGGAGATTGTGGAGGCGATGGGGTTTGTGTTTGAGGATTTAGGAGAGGAGTGTGGGGGACTGACGTTTGAGGGGGGGAAGGTGAGGGGGAGGGAGGCAGAGTATGGGTTTAATGTTAGGGCGTTGACGCGGTATGCATATTTTGCGCAGGTTTGGAGGGTGAGGAGGGTGTGAAGGGGGGGAGGGCTTTTGCTGGGATAGGAATGGAACGACTTTGGATGATTAAGCTGGTGGTGGTGAATGGGTTTGGAGGAGGTGTTGTGATGACGAGGTTCTTCGTCTTTCTTTCGGTGGCTGACTAGGTGTGAGGTATGGGAGAAAAGTATCCCGTTTTAGCCTCACGTGATGTCAAACGTACACTGCATACTATACTTGGATTTAGAAGGAATTTCTGGAGCTAGTCATGTATCGTTTTTCTCCACTTATTAAGCATAGTATCACTTCTTTTGCCAAGAATACTAAGAGTAGGACCCTTATCTTGGCATGCACGTAGTCCTACTCTTGTGGAGACGTTGCTTTGATATTTCCGATTCGTAAGTTACTAAGCTAGCTATACACCACAAATGTCATCTCAAGATACAATTTCATTACAGGCTCTCGCAAACCCCCTTATATATTTTACTATCCAGATTTCTTTAAATTAGACATGAGTGCTGTTCATGAGTCTCTCTTGCGCATATTTTTTTTTAATATACTCGCGATGGTTTCTAGGTATTCTGACCCTAACCCTAACCCAAAGGTTGACCCTAACCCTAACTCTGACCCTGCCCCTGACCCTGACCCCGCCCTTAACTCTAGTCATGACTCGAACTCTACATGGCTTCTCTCCCGACACTTCACAAGAAACTGAGTTAGTAAGAGGCAAAGATATGACATATCCTCGTCTCGTTTCTTAATCTTCCAATTGCCTAGTCAACCACATCAATATCACATGATCATTCGTCAACGTTAGGAAGTTCGAACATTGTTTCAATATACCGAGAAAGAATCCCTGAGGCGTATTACGATCGTGTAGCATGAAAGCCACTAGAGTTGACATTCAGAATATACATCATAGCTTCAATAATTATTACACCGAGTCCTGGTCATAGCTCATAGCTCTACTTCCTTCACATCCGATATCTTCTCCACTCGCTCCGTGTCGTTCGACTTCTCCAGCAGCTCGGAGTGGCTCTCCCCGTGAGAAAAAAGACGGTCAACATCCTCGAGTTCCAAGCCCCTGGTCTCAGGGAAGAACAGGTAGATGATGGGTACCCAGGTAGCGTTGAGGACGGCGAAGATGATGTATGTGCGCCATCCGATATTGCTGATAGCGTGGGGTGTGATTTGCACAATAATCTATCAATATGTTAGTCTTTGATTTTCCCATGGTGCGGAATATGTTCAAACTCACGTAGTTGCAAATCCAGTTCGCTGCCGTCGAAATAGCCGAACCACGCTGACGCAGGCGGAGAGGAAGGATTTCGGATCTGCTTCAAGTCAGTCTCTTGCTGTTTTGAATATCTGGGAGAGAAACTTACGGGTACACCCAAACAGTGGCCTGGAAACCAATGGTGAAAGCTCCTTGGAAGACGAAAAGCATGGCAGCCGCCGCAATACCCGCGCCGTGAGACGAAGCAGTCTTGAATTGCACTTGGTAGATAAGAGCAGATTGTACGGCCATGACGGCAGCCATGACGCTGATCATGGATAGCAGAAGCGGGCGTCTGCCGATCCTGTCAATCAGGAACCAGGGGATGAAGGATGCGACGAAGAACCAGGTTTGTAGGAAACCACTCATGAGGGCCGACATGTGGGTGTCGAATCCGATGCTCTTCTCGAAGAGAGTTCCAGAGTAGTCTGAAGCTTGTTAGTAGGGGTTTTTTTTTCAGTCTTGCTATGACAGAACTTACAGATGATAGCATTGATACCACCGAGTTGCTGGAACATCTGAATGGCACAAGCAATCAAGAAACGCCTCCTCGACTTGATAGGGTCGCTCCTGAAGATATCCTTCCATCCGGCTTGTCGCGATGCTTCGTAAGCAACGGTTTCGGTAATGGTTTGTTGAAGCCTCATGACTACAGCGTCGTTTTCGCTGGTACCTTGGATGCGTGCCAATACTGCCAGACACTCCTCTGCGCGATCATGCGACGCCAGCCATCGAGGTGTCTCAGGGATGACTGTTGTAAGGAAGAGGATGCTGAAGAGAATAATGCATTGAAGGATGGTAGGAATTCTCCAAGCATAGCTCGAGGTGTGGTTTACAAAGCCGTAGTCGATCCAGTATACGAGGAAGATACCAAAGTTCAAAGTGGAAAGTTGCGCGCAGACGTAGATACCGCGGCTAGTCTTCGGACTGAATTCGGCTTGCATGACGGGTACCGTTGAGTTGATTATACCGAGTCCGACTCCAGAGACGATACGGCCGACGATGAGATGAGCTCGACCAAATGCAGTGGCTTGTAGAATGGCGCCGAGCATGCTGATTACGGCTCCGATGGCAACACTCTTGCGACGACCTAGGTTCTCTCCGAAGAAAGCTGTGGCCATGGCTCCGACGAAGCAACCAACTGTAGTCGCACGTTACTATGTATCCTGTTCTACAATATCCGTAATTACTTACTTTCGAAGATGGCAACAATAGTTCCAATCATATCCGAAGATGGATTATCGAATGTCTTCTTGAACGCCGGCGCACCGACCAGACCGCCCATGAGTCCATTGTCATAACCAATCAACATGAACCCGAGGGAGGTAAGAAGATTGACAGTGAGCAAAAGCGCTCGACCCTTGAGTTCAGGCATGATGCAAGGAAGTTTCTCAATTGCGGTTTTGTTCGAATGTGCAAAGTTCACATCCACCGCTGAGTGGGAGGAAAATGCGAAAAGAGTTCTTCACAAAGTGCAAGCATGGAAGTCTTTCTCATCTCATATATATACATGGTCCTTGAAAACGGTCCTTCTGAAAAGCATGGGTCGCGATCGTGAGTTTGCGGGGCCCCCTTCCCCATGGGTACGGCAAAGTCATGCATATCCCGCGGGTTTTGGTGGCCTCTGGGGTAATGCTGGGGTCTGGCCCGCTTGTCTAACGCCCTCGAGATGCTACATACGGCAAGTGTCGATTCGAGGCGGTGATCGAGTCAGTCACTAGTAACCGGGCTAGTTTGGTGGGCAAGGCCGTTTCAAGGTTATGTATACTAGACCATCCTATCCACACGCACATGCTAGGCGTAGGAAGGTTTAGATGGAGGCCTGCCCACCATGTCATCCAACCACCTTAGTTTCGATGGAGTATTGCACGTACGACTCGGCCCTAGGGTTAAGCCGTTTTTTCAGCCAACCAATGCTCGTGGGCTGCTTTTAACTTGCCTCTATAATCTGACCGACGCAGGACCGAACCTCCGGCATTGCTCTAGGCCCAGTGCATAACGAACCCTCTCAAAATCGTAAAACCTGCTTCAAACGCCGCGCCGACCGGCAAACTAAGCTCACAATTAAGCCTTTCGGCGATTGAATGATCAAAAACCGCGCCAGTTCGCCGTCGCGTGATCGTTATCCTGCTCGCTCAAACGCCGACTCAACGCTCGCCAGCACGCCCGCTCGCGTGTTATAACAAGTGCCCTCTTCGAAGCTGACTGTCCGGGGTAAGCCTCAACGGGAGTTAACCCTCAACCGACACGCACGACCGAAACCTTAATCCTACACTAATTCACCAAATCAGTCTAGCGGGCATTCCCCAGAAAAAGAAAAGACACATTCCTCAGCAATGAGTCCCAGTCCCTCGTGGCTGCGTATCTACGACTCGGCAGCCAACGACCTCTTTGGCTCAAATCCCAAACTCGAAGTGCTCCTCGAAGATGACAAGTGCCCGTTTGCCCACGAAGCCGGCGTCTTCCTGCCAGAGGAAAACTGCCTCTTCGTAACAAGCAACCAGTACCAGCACCCTTCTACAGGCAAAACCCACATCCACGTCTCGCGCATCCAGCTTCCCGCAGATAGCACCAGCACCGCCGCAAAGTACGCCGAAGTCAGCGTCAAAAACGTGCACATGGCCAACGGCGGCGTAAACTATCAAGATGGCATTCTATTCTGTTCGCAGGGCACTCTGGATACGCCCGGCGGTATCGCTTTCATGCGCTGCTCGTCAAAACCTTTCTCGGCAACTACTACGTACGAGGCCAAACTGCTAATCACCGACTTCCACGGCCGCCCTTTCAACTCCCCCAACGATGTCGTCGTGCACTCGGACGGTGCCATCTGGTTCACCGATCCAAACTACGGGTTTGAGCAGAAGATTCGGCCGAAGCCTAGGCTCCCGAATCAGGTGTATCGGTTTGATCCTGCCACGGGGAGTATAAGGGCGGTGGCGGATGGGTTTAGCAGGCCGAATGGGATTTGTTTTAGTCCGGATGAGAGGGTGGTGTATGTGACGGATACAGATTGGATTCATGGGGATGGGGAGACGGATGATGCGAGGGTGTCGCATATGTAAGTGACTTTTTTCTTGACATTGAATTTGCCTGGGGGTGGGGGGGGGGGGGGGAAGTCATGGTCATTGCGCTTACCGTGCCATGATGACATTTTCTGACAAGTGGGTGTAGATATGCGTTTGATGTGCAAACTTACTCTGGTCAGCCGTTCTTGACTAACCGACGGCTATTTGCGATGGCTGACACTGGCGTTCCTGATGGCATCAAGTGCGATTTGGATGGCAATGTGTACAGTGGGTGTGGAGATGGGCTGAATATCTGGTCTCCTGGTGGCGTTTTGCTGGCAAAAATTCTGATCGATGGTGGAGTTGCCAACTTTTGTTTCGGTAAAGACGGTCAAGTCTTCTTGCTGAACGAATACAAGCTGTGGAGACTGCAGCTGCACGAACGCTGCAAAGGCGCTTTGTTGAAACTTTGAGCTCACACATTTCTCGACCGTTGTCAACTGTGCTGCTTTTTAGCGATCAGATTCTTTTCAAGAGCAGGCAGGTCGTTCAGGAGTTTGGGTGGCGGACGTACCATTTACACGAAATTCACGACACGATCCCGTAGAAGTCACTGCTGTCAGTAACTGCTTTGCAAGGTTTGTTAGCTTCGATAGAACGATTCCAATATACCACCGTTATATGATCTATTTCCGAGTTTTTCATGGTAGAAGAATGATCCAAGATGAGCGCTACGAGTACTCTTACGATTTAAGTGCGATGAAGGGCGATTGAACAGATTCGTAGCGCATACATAGTAACAAGGCCTGCGTGAGCTGGAACCTTTTTCAACGTCACGCTAAGCACGTTTACTACCCGTTTTGGCATTGTATGATCTCACGAACAAGGGGGGTTAGGTGTGTACGAAAACCCCGCACGTATACATGCAATGATCGGAATGTGGGGCTCGTAGAGAGTGCCTTGTAATATGTCATTCTCGTCACTGGATTGGATCCTAAACCCGAATACGATATTTGTCACTCATCGCACACCATTTCGTAGGCTTCTGGTGTCGTTATGAGGACGGCATATGAACTCATGGTGGCGCCGCTCGGCTCATCAATTATCCCGGTGTTGTTTTGTACAGTTTTGGATGTTGGATTTGTACGGAGGAGACCCGAGGTAATACTACACGATGCGTACCACGTGTCTGATACCTTCTACAATTATCTCTGTACTCTTGCTAGCACCGCTTGTTGCTGCTTGGGCTTCCTCATGAATGTTGCGAAACTGCTAGGACTACATGATTCGTGAACCGATCCTGAATCACTAGAGTCACGATGCATGTTGTTGTACTATTCAATAAACGCGTGCTTTCCGACGCCTATAACGGCTATACTTGGTTCGATATATCACAAGGAAAGAAACTTAGGCTTATCCTACCTGTTCCTAGTTTTGAGACGACAGTGTGAAAAGTCAACCGCTTCCAACATGACACAATTCAAAACTATGTTTAAACAATTTACATTTCTACTCCATCTGCTCTTCGACTCATCATAGTCCTTCGAACATCCCATCAAACCCTCATATACACAATTACTCCGTCTCCCCCGCGACCGTCCTCCTACTGTACATATACTCATAGTCCCCCATAGCCTTCTCTACCGACCTTGCCAACTCCTCCGCATCCTCCCTCCCAAACTCCTCAACCCACTTCTCCATCTCACCCTCCACACTCTTGCCCTTGGCATCCAAACCCTTCACAACCCCCTTACTCTTCGCTAGTGTAGACAAAAACCTGGCTTGCATTGGGTCCTCTACTACACGCTCCTCCCACTCATACACAATGGCATCGGGATCGAGACCTGTTTGTAAGCAGAGTTTGCGCATGGAGGCTGCATCGTTCATGACGTCGTCGGCATCGATGACACGAGGGGTGATTCCTGTGTGTGTAGTTTGCGCAGCGTACCAATCGTATAAAGTGCGAGAGTCGCGCAGCTGGAGCATGATTTGACAGATGGGGTCGCGGGGTCGACCCGCTACTTTGACGTCCATTTGTGCGCGGACAAGCGAGGGGAACATGAGGATTGGATTTCTGATTTGGAAGATCGGCTGGAACTTCAACAGAAAACTATCGGGCAGCGAAGTCGGATTCGTGTGAGACGACTTGCTGGGTGCGACACCGCGCTCGTGTAGGACCAAGGGGGCGACATTGTCGTCTTTGTAGATGCGGCCTAGGAGTTTATCGGCGGCGGAGAGAAAGACTGCATGTTCTTTCATAAACACCTTTTTACCCTATACAAGTCCAATATCAGTTGGTATCGATTCGATAAGAGGATTGGATGCCTTATCATGCGAGCTAAGAGGGAAAGCACGCAATCTTGAGGCTGAGATTCGCAAGAGCCCGTAGACTACGAATCGCATGTAAATTCCCCGACCATACATACGGCCCGAGGACTCCACCCCAACACAACTTCTCTCTTTCCTTTCCTCTCCCCCATCTTCCTTGAGGAAACACCAAGAGCAAACTGAAAAAAAAGAAAAAAGAAACTTACACTCCCCACCGCCCCCTCAACCTCCTCTATCATCCCCTCAAACCCCGCCTCAAACACCCCAAACAACTTCTCTCGATCCTCCTCCGGCCAACTCCCCAACGGCCCCCTCTGCAACTGCGTCAACGCCCCAAACCCCGCTCCGAACAACTTATAACTCGAGTACTGGAACCCCGGCTGTTGACCCATCATCTTCTGGAACAGATTCGACGCCGAGCGCGGATGCGTAATATGATAAATCCCACAAATGCCCTCTGCAGGCGCGTCGCAGGAAATAGCACCGGGCATATTTGCTACTTGTCAAAAACCCCTTTGACCAATCAATCAATCAATCAGTCAAGAGAAAACGAAAAAAAGAGATAGTATGAATGGCGGAATGTGCTTGCTTCGATACCCCCAGATGAAGGCCTGAGGCATCCGACCTTTATACCAACCCTCCCCTCCCTCCACTCTATCCACCTTTCCCAACACCCACAATCGTCATACCTTCCCTCCCCCCTCCATCACCCAAACAAAACCCCCCATCGCACCCACCTACCTGTACCTTCCTGACACGCATCACCGCCCCTCTGATGCATACTCGCACACGGAACTTCTTCTCGCGGTCTCGGAACCCGAAAGCTCCGACTCCCCCTCGTACGAAGGGACATCATCTATCGAGCGCAAAACTGGGGCTGGTGGTTACTAGACTAGTACTAGGCTCAGGGATCATTTGGTTGGGGAGGGGAGGGAGGGTTTTTTTTATTGACCGCTTAAATGGCGGGGGTACAGGGGTTTGGATGTCATTTGTCTACTGGCTCTAGCTGTATGGAGTGGTGTCATTGGGGGGGAAAAAGAGAGGGGAGTGGAGTTTGCTTGAGAGGGTGGGTGTCCGGGGCGGCGGCCGATGGGCCGATGGGAGTCTCCGCGGGGGGGAAATGGAACATGGGTGGTACTATGGTTGCTTTGTGGCACATGCTTGATATGGAGACGTAGTAGGAGTGGAGAAATGTGGGTAGTACGCTACTATGTTTTGTATTGGGCCTTTTGGAAAAAAATGGTTCGTACATGTTATTCGGGGCTTTCTTGTTTACTCCTACTCTGTCAACTCCCCCGCTTTCGAATCGCAGTAAAAAAAATGGAAAAAAAATGGTGATGGAAATAACATTTCATGGGGGTATACCGGTAAATCCTGCATGTCCTCGTTATGTAAGAAAAAAAAGGAAAACGGCGGACCTTTGCTACAACATACAACACTCCCTGTGCTATGCTCCGAGTTGACACTAACGGGAAATACTTCAGCTACACTTGCTTCTGAAATTGAAAACGGGATTTCGAACAGCGAAGAAGAAAGTCCATGATTATTCTTCGCTCGGAGTGCGAAATGGAGGAAAAAGAGAGGGCTCCTCACATCAACCCCCTCCGACCCATCAAGCCAACGCCCAAACTCTCACCCGTCTTTCCCCCCTTGCGCATGATCGTTTTCATGATTGTGTTGTACATTAAGATGTAAAATCCGCTTCATGCCATCGACCCCCTTTTCCAGGTGCGGATGCCTCGCAATAAAGCCGCCATGGTTTCCGTTGGATGGAGGACCAGTAATGACGCGCTTCTTGCCGGCAAGAGGATCTACTGCTGCAACGCGCGGAGGCCATTCGTCGGCGTCTTTCCAGCCCTGGACCAACGCCTTTGTCATGTCTGCGAGGTTGATGGGGACAGAGGGGGTGCGAGATGAGACGACGATTTTCTGGTAAATGTCGGAATACGCTGACGGGGTAATGGAAGCGCGGATGGGGTTCTGGTCGAGGAGGCGGGGTGCAACAGGTACGAGGTCATACGTTTCTGGTGCTGCTGCGCTCGTGGCAGACTGCGATTCGGAACCTGCTGGAGTTGTAGTAGGTTCTTCAGACGAATAGCCTGCTGCAGATGACGGTCGATTTCTCTGCCGACCTGTGCCGTATTTCTTGACGCTCGCTGCGCCTGTCCATACGTCTCTTCGCTCTACCCAGATACGCAAGCCTTCGTTTTCCTTCATCTCACGCTCCATGCGCTCCCTACGCCGTCTCTTGCGCGCCTCGCGGGTATGTGCAACCGCGTCACCGATGCTCTCCGGGTTATCAAACTTGTATGGCGCGCCATCTTGGTCCTCGTTGTCCGAGTCCCCAGACTCAGACTCGCCATAGTATCGTTCGCGGAAATCAACGGCATCGCGTACTTGCTCGTCAGACGCTGACCACTCAACCGCCGGATCCGGGTAATCCCAGTCGTTGCGAATGCGCTCGTCGAGGAAACGACGGGATGCTCGGGCGGCAGAAAGATTACTCTCCATGTTGCAGGACGAGGACGGCGACAAGGCGCAAAGTGTTTCTCGGTCTCAGCGCAGAGTCGCAACAGGGCTACAACACCGATGACGCATGCGATGCTCAAAGAACGAGATGACTGTGTCCAACAGCCGCGGGGAAACTACTTCATGAATGGAAAATGACGAGGGAACTGAGGAGAAGAAAGAGGAGAAGAAGAAGAAGGTGAAAGTAGAGGTGAGAATGAACGTCACAAGGGTAGAACTGGATTACTGGGCGCACATGTTGGGCTGATGATTGACGTAGAGCGAAATGCAGGGTCAGTGGTGGGGTGGGGCGGGAAGAGAGGGGTTGTAGCGTGCTGGCAACGACCTTTTTTAGCTCCACATGGTCAGCACATGGAAATCACTTGTGAGCAACCATGCAAAGATTAAGTTTACTGGGACAAACCAAATGTATATTGCCAACATGAATAAACGCCTTTCCCCGCCAACCCCTGTTCGTACAAAACCGCGTCCTGCGCGGAAAAGGAAACCCTCTATAACAGACAGAATTCATCCCTGATCAATTTGAACCATAACGCCACTCCGTAGTCATTCCCAACAGCCAGCTCAACTCAAAGTACCCTGCCGATTTAGCTCCAGACCTGCAGGTGCAGAGCCAACTTGACCGACTAATTCTCGTTCCATCGCACGAGACTTGAGCTCATCATCTAGTCCCGTATTCTTCTTACGTAACGGACTGGTAGCATCAGCCGCGCTGTCGTCGACATCAAGCTCCTTTTCCTTTCGTCGGACAGTGGCCATGCTAATGATACTCGAATCATCACCATCGCTCTTCTTCGCACGTTCACCCTCGCCATTGTGCACCTCAATAGTGACGTCTGTGTTGTCCTTGCTAAAGACACGCAGACCAACGACACAGACTGCGTTCCATGGATCCCGCTCAAACTCATCCACCTCTTCGATGTAAGGATAGCGCATACCATTGTACCAGACGTACCGTGGCCTCTGCTCGGAGAATTCGTTCTCGTCTTCGCCCTCGCAGATACTAGAGTCGAGCGAGCAGGGACCGTCAATCTCAGAGTCCCAGGACGAGTCGTCAGAAGTGTCGTTGGGATATCCAAATCCATCTTGAGCCCTGTGAGAGAACTCGCCTGTGCTAAGTCCGGGACTGACCTGGATACCAGGTCGCACACCGGGAATAGGCGCGAGTGTTGCACGTCGCGATCCAGCCGGAGAGTGTCGGGGGCTATGTGTTCGCTGTGGATGGAAATCGTCCATCATTGTAGCTGCTGGCGTAGGCATGGGTGTAGGTAAAGGCGATTCCGTCAATTGCACCTCGTTGTATCCATCGCGGCCATTGTAGCCATCACGCCCTTGATACGCACCAGGAAGCTCTGCATTGTAGCCGCCCCTGCCTTGTAGCTCACCCGGCATGTTTTGGTTGTAGCCCCCTCTTCCTTGAAGTTCGCCTGGCATGTTTTGGTTATAGCCCCCTCTCCCTTGAAGCTCGCCTGGCATGTTCTGATTGTATCCGCCTCTTCCTTGGAATTCCCCGGGCATATTCTGATTGTAACCTCCTCGTCCTTGGAAGCCCTCTTTGTGGAGACCAGGCGATGCTTGCGGGCTGTGATTGTAGCCGCCTCGTCCTTGAAGGGCACCAGGCAGCGCAGCATTGTATCCATCTCTGCCCTTGTTGTAGCCGCCTCGGCCGCTGAAGCTTCCGCCAGTGCTGTCTGCTCGTTCACGGATAGCGCCGGTGCTAGAAGCACGATGATGTCTGGTGACGACTTGATGCATGGGCTTCGATTCTTCATCTCCAGATGTTCTGGGTTCTTCCTCGGCGTTGATGCCGAGACCGCGAAGAACTCGCAGTTTCCTTTCGACTTCTTGGATGTCGCCGGAACGATTCACTCGATGTGTCTGCTTGGCGGCCTTCTTCTGGTCACGGAGCGCCTCTCGCTTGCGCATCCTCTTCTGACGTTCGTGTGTTCGTTTCATCTCAGCCTTTTTGCGCTCAATGCGCTCTTCTTTTTCACGCGCCAGCTTCTCCTTCTCCTGCTCTCTGAACTGACCTTTGGCATGAGCAAGATCGTAAGACAGTCCAATGGATAGAAGTTTCTCACGACGCTTGGTGCAGGTCGTCCTAATGACCTCGTCCGGTGTTGGATTCTCGGGAATCCTTGTGGCCTTGATCTTCAGCAAGACGGTATAGTTGCCAGCTTCGAGCTCGAGTTCTGTCGAGACTGAGCGCTTCATGTAGTACGTTCCGTTGCTGCGGACTATATATTCCTCTTCATCGTCTTTGTGGAGGCGGAACTGAAGATGGAACTCATACTGTCCCTCAAGACCCTGGTAGTAGCGATCGTCCAGTTGGCTGAGTACAATCACTACCGGGCCGCCCTTGGCCAGATGTATCTTGAACTTGGTGTCCAGGTAGTCGACGCTCCAAGGGACGTTCACACTGGTCCATTGCTGCGAAACCGTCCACTCTGGGCCAAAGAGTCGTGTACGGTCAAAGTGTTGGTAGGTGCGAAGTAGGTCCTTGTACGAGATCCAGAAGACGCCATCATCACCGAATTTGTGGTTCAGTTTCTGCATCCACTCAGGGGTCCATTCTTCAGACCCATCACTCCAAGGTCCAGTCCATTCTGTCCGGCCCCAGGGGTTGCGCAGCTTCAACAAGCGCTGGCCGTCGATTTCCCGAGCTTCCATGACAGAGTATGCGTGCTTCTCTTGAATGCCTTTGCGTGAGCCATAGATGCCGCCCATCTGGCCGCATCCGAAAAGGAAGGTCTTGTTGACGTTCATAAGTTCCTCTCGCCAGAACTGGTCCTTGTCAAGGATATCAGTGGTGAATATCTCCGAAGTCACCCCTCCGGTGAGGTCTTCGATACCCTCACCAACGAACCCTCCATCTATGGCGCTGTAGTCTCCGTGAGCTTTGGCAAAAGCCTTCTCAAGCAGCGGAAGCCATGTTTCGTTGGGATCACTGCACTGTGCAAAGTAAAGAGCCCTGGAACCAGTTTGCATGACTGTGCGGTATTCCTCCTCGGGACTCTTGCGGTTTTGTAGCTCTAGCCAATGATGACGCTCGAGCTTTGCTTCGTCAAAATCTTCTTTGATGAGATATAACTTGTCGTCAATGACTTCAGAAATCCACTCGCCATCTGGATGCCGTTAGCTCGTATGCAGACATCGGATCTTGATGGTTATTTACCTCGATGGAAGACAAAGCCATACACGCCAACCTTTTCATCACGAGCGACGCACACTCGTTGAATCAATCCCTCTTTGTTGGATATAGTTGCCAACGCCGACATAAACCAGCAGTCGCCGTCATTGCCTTGACGCACATCATTTGCCGTTGCGCCTCCAATATAGAATTGTGGGTTGTCAAAGATATCCTAGTACAATCAGCGACGAGCCATCACATAGACAACCCAAGAACAAACCTCTACTCTTTTCACCGACTGAGGAAAGAAAGTTGCTTTTTCTTCGTTCAATCCGGTCAAGCAGTCGGCCGGTATATCAGGAAAGGCTTGTGACCGTTTGAAGTCTGCCTCGATATCGAAATGTGGATCTCGGTACTTTTGATTCAGTCTGCGGCATTCTTTGACAATCTTTGCAACCTTCCTGATACAAGCCTCCTTGGCTTCTTCGTAGGATGCGAGTGCGTTAACTCCCGGAATAGATCCTTTTGGTGTATGTGCGGCGGCTCGTTTGGCGTACAAGTTGTCGGGTAATATTGTGAAGATCTTTCCAGGATGCTTTGTGGTAAATTTGTGCCAGAAATCGTCGATATTCTTTTGTGGCGCTTGCTTTCTGACTGGTAGCCGCGGACGCGGCAAGAGTGCGGGTGCCTCCTGAACCATGCTGGGCGCACGTGAATGTGATGTAGTAATGTTGATAAAGTCGTTGTGCGTGCCGTTCGATGCCATTGTCAATTGAGCACCACAACCTGAGTGTTCAGGGACTAGCTAGACCTGCTGGAGCGTATGTTGTCCATCAGGGGCGGAGTGGTGGCTTATAAACATTTTCAAGTGATAATGTACCTTTCAGCCCCCAAATGAGGCATCACAAGCTGCCATGCATGTTGAGGTATTCTAGGAGCTGGTCAGAAAACAAGTGGGGCATGCAGACACAAGGGTGCGACTGGCTTACATGCCGCTGCGAATCAGCTGCATGCGGCGCTCCCGAATCCATGCAACAACAGTCCCCGCTTGTCATAAAGGGCGGAGAGCCAGGTGAGACGGGGGTCGGGAGACACTGCATTGGCCCGACGTCTTCAGCCGTACCCACGAGCTGACCACGAATCCGACGGCCATGCGGCGATGCACAATGACGGGCAGAGTTGTTGTTTGTGGGAGAGTGAACATATCCAGCCAGTGCACGCGGCTACATTAGCCTTCGGGGCGGAGCGCTGCTAGCCGCTTTGGCCCTCTCCTGCTGAATGCCTGACCGACTCATATCCTGTCACCCCATCCACTGAGGGTACTTGTAGCTTAGAGAGCGTGCATCAGTCTGTATGCTGACACTTCGGTGTCGGTGCTGTCTGCATGTAAATGCACATCCACTGGCGTTGAGGCTATGTCGAGGCAGTACTCCTATCGTCTAGTTTTCGGCATATGAGGAACTCGTACAAGATTTCCCTGCCGAGTATCCAGCGCCATGCTTTCTGCCCAGATCGAAATTCCGTGCTGCCGAGTAGCCGGCAGATGGTTTCGGTGGCCGCTGACGTTCGAAATCATGGAGGCAGCGTCGCCCCAGGATCCCTTGGACTCCGAGTCTTTGGCAATGTCTCACACTTTCCAAGCTGCCGGGGACAATTTTGCTCTCGATCCTCCCGCACCTGCATATGTGAAGAACCCATGTAGCACGGTCATATTTAGCAGACCCATGCTGGGCTGAGTAGCGGTAACAGCTCCACCGTACAACTCGGCGAGCGACAAGACGGCGACCAACGAAACGGCGACGATACCGACGTGCACCAGAAGGATCGCCGGCAAGAGTTTCACGCACATGTCAGCCCTAGATCAGCCCTACGAGCGATATGATGCAGGTTGCATGCAACCGTGCGGCAAGGATATCTTCTCACCGTCTCTTGGGGCTTTTCAGCCAATCACCGTTGGATATTGGGGAACTCTTTGAAAAAGCCGGCCATCTTTTCTAGAAGCGAAGCCGAGAGCAGGGGTTGATTGGGATGCATGCACTATCAATCTGGCCGCTCTCCGTTTTTGATATTAGCCCGCCTGGTAACGCTCTTGCATGTGCATCGTGCAGAGCTGACCTCCCGGTAGGCCAGCCGACAGCGAATGACACTTCGATTTTTTCTCGACATCTCCTGATGATGCAGGTGCAGCTGTGACGTCGCCGAATCCTACGCATTCGGTTATGCAGAGGTAGATTGTAGACTTGTAGAAAGGTATCATTGAAAGAGCGGTAAACGCCTTGTAGGATCCAAGCAACGCAGTTAGTGACTGGACATTACTCGGTGACCCCGAAGTCAATGGAGCAGCTCCTCCGTGGCTGTACGATTGAAGAAACAAGGTTGACAGCTGGAGTGGGACAAGTACATGACGTGGGTTTGTAGCGATCCAATCAAAGTCACAGCAGCGAATGGAATGCCCACACGTGATGCTCAAAGATCTTGTTTGAGTCAAGCACGTCTTTTGTGTATATTCATGCTAACTAAAAGAGTACAGTGGTTCTGGACACTAATCTAGAACGGTCTGAGAAGCTATGCAGGGCTTGGGAAGATTAGGATAAAAGAAAGACCATATGCACGTGATGTAACATCACGATACTTGAATACTACCTTCATTACTGATAGATTTGACAGAGTGTAACATGCAGCAAAGTATCAACTGTGCATCTCTCCAATACTCCTATATCAAATAACCCTGAACAATATTGTCCTCGAAATAACCAAGCACCAACAATTGATGCTAACTATACGCCCACACCCTTGTACACCTAGCACTGCGCACGAAGAGGTTCTTTAATACTGCTAGTACATTCTCTAACCTTTTTCACGTTTTCACTGGCTTTGGGATATCAGCAATATCACGTGAGCCCTCTCGGACAATAAGACTGGGCGGATACCCCTGGCATGTTAATGTATGAAATCATCCCTACAGACCAAAGCCTAGGCGATACTCCAACAAGCCATTGCTATTGGTTCGTATATATATATATACATATATCCAGTCAAGCAACGATACCAGTCAGCCACGCAAAAAAGCCAGCAGTTCTCATTCATCAAAAAGTCATTCCAAATTAATCCCATCCGACACTGGTCGAATCACTACATAATGCCGTACTTCTACAAAAGCCCCCAAGCCAACACCGCCGCAAACACGGCCGTACCAAGTGCCGGGCTAATATGCCCAGCCGCACCCGTCGGCTGAGGAGCCTGACCAGACGTGCCATTGGCACCGCCATTCTGCGATTCCGATCCCACATTGGTAATCGCGACACCAGAGACGCCGGTGCTGTTCTGGCATTGGTCGTCGGAGAGGAGCTGGGCAGTCGAGTTGAACCTGATATCGGCGCACTGTCACATTTGTTAGATCATCGCTGGGGCTTGGGTTTATCACTAAATCATATGTGAAATACTTACGTTGTACAGTGCGCTTCCGGAGTGACCAAGCTGGATGACCTGGATGGTTCCCAGGAGGCCGTTGATGCGCTGGTCGTCGAAGCCAGAGTAGCCAGCGGCCTTGAACCCGGCCTCGAGGTTTGCGCGGCCGGTTTCCTTGAGGCAGAAGAGACCGGTGCCGGTCTGGTTGAACATTTCGACGAGCGAGATGTTGAAGTTTGTGACGTTAGTGCCGAGGGCGAGGTTGATTGCTGTGAGGGCGTGTTCGTGGGAACCGTTGATTAGAGTAGAGCCGCCAGTTACGGGCCATACAGTGCCTGCATGCTTGGTAAATTGTTATCCTTCAGCGTCTCAAGAAAGAGTAACACATACGGTTTGACACGTCGGTAGTCTCATTGACGTTGGCACATGGGTAGATGTACTGGCTTGCTGGCGCTGCGAAAGAGCTGCCTCGCCAGAAGGGCTCGAGGAGACGGAAATGAGCATTGACGCCAGCTACCATTGCGGCGGCGACGAAGAGGGTTTTTGACAACATCTTGATTGAATGTATCAGGGTCAGGTATTATTGAGATAAGGGATCCAAGTAGAGAGCGAAGTGAAAGCAGGGGGAAAGACGAGAGAGGCAGAGGTTAATGTATCCACCAGGCGTACCGAAAGCTGACGTGCAGCTGCCATGGCCTTTATACATGAAGCTGCAATCCTGCTGTCCTCAGCCCAATTTGCCATTCTTCCTTCAATACTAGCGGAGCTATTTCCCATCTTCCCGCTGCCAAGTAGTCGCGGTGTTTCTTTCCAGTAGGTCTTTTACACTCACACCGTGGGGCACCAAGAAACTTGTGTGGATTGAACGAATTACAGTCGACACTGACATTCAGGAATCTAGACTACGGTGTAGCGAACCACTTGTCCTGGCCCTGAGAATGCTGTGGCGCGAGCTATAGCTGCGACCCTGCAGACAGACCCCAGGATAATGTGCTCAATGAGCAAGTTTTAGTCTTGGCACAACCTAGCCTAGACAAGCCACAGACCGAGCAAAGGACGTGCGGGGAAGACGGCGAAAGGCGGTGCGAAGAGCATGTAGATGGGCTCAATTTTAAATTTCATATTCAGTATCTGGGTGAGATTGAATGGGGACGTGTTAGGTGATAGAAGTGTCGATTGATACGGTTGAGCCGAGGAGCTGGAACCGGGCACGCTAGACCCAAGTAGTATGGTACATAGGAACGGGTATCTAGTGCTAGCGTCGTCGCTTTTGCATAGCTGACCTCCTATCTATTCACGGTATCACTTTGCTTCCAGTTCCTGCTATCTAGTCGTATGAAACTCAATCTAGAGATAGTTCGTAGATGGCATTTGGTCATATCAAAGTATACTGTCCAAGATAAACAGCCATGTCATATACGTAATGGAACATATCCGAAAACGAGTACGCCGAATAATCCCATGCGCCATTTCCAGCAGAAAACTGACCAGCAAACAAAGAAAAACTCCAAGGTGGGGGTATATACATCATACAGGCCATCAACACCGATACATCTAGCGGAGGCAAAAATAGGCCCTATACAATACTCATGACTATCACTTTTGAATCAAAACATGCTACTTTTCTTCTTTTTTAGTTTCTCTGCGCTCGACTCACTCTGCGACCGAAGACCCCAGAAGCTCTTCTTGGCTTTGGCAATGGGTTTGGGCAGACCATTGCTGAGGAAGCTTGTTTGGTTTACCGCTGGCCGCTGCTGGCTGGGTGCATGCACTTGTACACGAGGCGGTTGCACTTGCACACGCGGAGGCTGCACTAGACCAGGAACTGGTCGAGGTGCCGCCGGACTGGGACGTTGGTGCGCTGCGCCTGGTACAAATGGGGCCGAGTGTCGTTGGGGTTGTGGGGATGGACGGAACAAGTTTGACTGGTCCCCAAACTGCTTCTTGAGGCGCTCCGTCTCTTTGTCAATCTCTGCCTTCTTCCTCTGCCGCTCCTTCTCTTCTCGTTCTTTCTGTTTCCGTTCTTGTTCGAGGAATTGCAGAGTCTTGCGTTCTTGCTCTTCTTCTCGCTTCCGACGCGCTCTGCGGTCCGCCTCAGCTTTCCGTTTCTGCTCACGCTCTTCGGCTTCTACTTGAGCTTTTAGGCGAGCGGTTTCTGCTTCGATTTCCCATTGTGACCGCGGATCCAGTCGTGGACCTGGTTGTCGTTGTTGTGTGGGTCGCAAGGTCTGTGCGGGTCGTGGCGGCTGTTGTGGCTGTGCAAACCGCGGGGGTTGTGCGGGTCGCTGCAGTTGAGGGCGTTGGCTCGGACCATTCTGACCTGTAATAAGAGGTGGAAGCGAGGCACGCTTTGCAGCGTTGTTGCTTGTATATGAGGGTGGTGGCGGTTGGTGGTTGGGGCGTGAGGCTCCAGCATCTGGTAGTGGTGCCTTCTCGGGTGGCAATTGTGATGAAGAAGGCGTGTAAGCCGGGGGTGGCGGGGGTTCTGGAGTCATGATTGGTTTTGTGACGTTTGGTGCCTCTAGGGGAGAGGAGCCTTTTCTGGTTCGGAGTCCTCCACTGTTCTTGCGGGCGCCAACGCGGTTGATGTGAAATTGTTCGTTCAGATCGCTAAAGAACAAGTCACGAATGACCGCTGCACCGAGGAGTAGTGTGACTTCCAGGCCTTTATAATCTTCGAGCTCGACGCGGTACAAGTTAGGCTCCATGACTGTCAGCTCTTTGAGACCGGAGAACATGGCCACGGCGATGTCGCCCTCCTTGCTCTTCTTGGCCTTCTTGCCTGTGGGGTCTGTTGACTTTCCAACCATGTAGCACGTCATGTCCTTGCCCAGCCTGCCTTCTTTCCTCCACGCAAATTTGACCCTGGGTGTGTTAACATCGGCACTAGGATCATTCATAGTGCGGTCGAGATCTGATTTGCTCGGTGTCCTGAATGCAACTTGGGGCAGGCTGAATTCCCAACTAACAGTACTGCTCCATTTGGCCGTTGATTGGCTAACTACAACACGCATATCGGGGTTGTACAGCTGGATGGCAAACTCGGTAGGGAAGATGGGCATTGGCGGGGGCGGGACTCCACCATTTTTGCGAATCTCTTCCTGGGACAGGGTGGGATGAGACCATCCTGGCTTAGAGAGGACCTCGCCATAGAGAATGTCGGGATTGCGCGAGTCAAACAAGGCTACCGCATAGGTGTTTCTGGCATCTGGGGTGGCGGGATCGACATGGTGGAGGGCATACTGGGCCTCTGCCTCGGAGCCGTTCTGGGTGAAGTAGAAGGCTTCGTGGTGTTTGATCTTTTCCGTCGAGGGCTTGAGAAAGAAGGCTGGACAGGGTTAGAGGATGCGGGATGGAATAGGATGAGATGAGATATGGCGATTGGCGAGACGACGTACTGGGGAGATTCTCGTCTAACATGGCGTCATGCCGCTGCTGCAGCAAGATCTGGCAATGACTGGTTGTTTAAACACAAGGTTACGGGAGCGAGGAGCCAGCAGTGAGGATTCGACAGCGGGCGGCGTCGACGAGGTTATGGCTCTTTGGGTCTCATACGCGTCTTCGGTGAGGCTGTACGGGCGCCCCCTGCACTTGCATCGGGAACCCGTTGCCAATGACGAACACGTGCCCCCACCGCACGGCTATGAATAGCATCCATGCTCGCCTGAGGCGAACTCTTCCTCCTAGAATCGTTCTTGTCGTCTGGTTGGACATGTCTACCGCCTCCCCTTGCATCCCTACTCATCTCATCGCATTCGCTTGAGAGCCTCTATCCACACGCACACTCGCCTCCCACGCCTCCTGAAATTCGGCCTGTGATGCATCGACGCAATCCACAGTCGCACTGCGTTTCACCACGGCCCATGGCATAGCCGAGCAGCAACGCCGGCGCCCCGTCCAAGCCCCCTTGGCGCACCCCCATCAACAGCCATCCACACGAGGCAGACTCGATGCGTGTCCTCCGTATTATTCTCTCGCTTACGCGGCTTCGCATAGACGACATGCTGCCCCGCTCTGTTTGCCTGCCTAGTAGTCTTTGTAACCCGTCCCTTGTTGGTTCCCAGCAGTCTAGAGCAAAATCTGCAAACACTGGTGACGAGGCTATCTAGATCTAGCAATGACCGTGTCCATGGCTCTCGGATTGATTTGTTGCCCTTATTACCGCAATACGTACGCCATACATATTTCACAAACTCATGCTCCAGCCAAGTCACCGAAATATATCCAGCACACATAAGCACTATACCGGAGAATAGGAGGCTTGGTATGCCTGCGTCTGCGTGCAAAGTTGACTATAGGCCTTGTTAGTAAAGTGGTTATTAGGCAATTATTAATTCCTAGACGCTTAGCCACGACAGCTTGCGGCGTCAGATAAAGCGAGGCCACTTTCAGAACCAACTAGTGTCCTTACATGATTCGACATACTTACATGTGTTGGCATGTGTCTTGGCTTTCTTTCCCACAAGCGAGTCTGCTAAATCACACTGGCTAAATACACATGCACATGCACCTGCACCTTCCATCAGAAAAACGGCATGGCAACGATAGGACAACATTATCCGGCCATCGTTTCATCTTCCTCATCGGGAGAGCGTCTACAATCAAGCTTCCTTCGTCGTTTGTATGCTTGCTTATCATCAATCACAAGGCTACATCGAATCCTACAATTGCTCCACAAAGAATGACGCTTCCTAAGGTTTTCCCAATTCACCAGAATCTCTTTCGTTGCTATGGAAGATTCTTACATCATTCATCACAGCTATCAATTGTTACCTATGCGATACGTGTGCCATAGCCATCAAATTCTATTGCTGGTTCGAAATAAACAGAAAATAGAAAGACGTCCTCTTAATTCAATGAGCAAACATTAACCATGAACAAACGGGGGCGCGAGTACGTATGTATTCAGATATGGCAGGTACCCAACGATTGAGCCATGCATAAGCATATTCAATCCTACAGTCGCCAACCTTTTATATCGCTGCTAAGCACTTTCGAAACTTTGACTGCTTCGAGATCAGAATTGCGTATCAACGCAGATCCATTGAAATATTTCTTGCATGTATTCCACCCTGCGATAAGCGACAGGGCAACTCTCGTCCTGCACCCCGTGTCTCCCCCATCAACTGAGCGTTCAATAAATCAACAGTAACAAATTCTTAACATTTCCAATCCACAAACGGGTCGCCATCAACGCCTCAACCATTATTGCAAATTCGCTCTTTACTCCTTTACAGAGTCTCAGAATCCGACTCATTCTCGCAGCACATGACATAACAAGTCTTGGCGATTTTCTCCCCATTCAGCATTTCTATGATATTATGCTAGAAAGCTTGTTAGAAGATTTTACAAGAGAGGCTAGCATCCCAGGTCAACTAACGCATTCTCCATCAAAACACTTCCAACGCTTCGTCGGACATGGACTGCCCGTATCGTCTATATTCCGGTGCCAATTACATCTACTACCTTTGCCGGGTTGACAATGGAGATCAGCGGGGTCCACGCATGTGTAGATGGGTATGCACTTTGCGCCTGCGTGGATGGCGAGGGATAGGAAAATCATGATGTTTTTCTTCATGCTTCTTGAGAGATGTGCTAGAGGTATTGAACCTGTTGCAAGGCCAATGAAGCTGATCTTCGGTAAGAAGGTGATTTGAGAGATGGCAATGTAGAGAAACGTGGGAGGGGTAAGTGTACAAAAGATATATTATTTACGGTTCCGGAACTAACGGCCAGAGTAGTTAGTCGACCATACACGTTTCGAGTATTTGTTCGTGTTGTAATGATTATCGAATTGTTTCTTGACCTAATCGTGGAGCCGGTCCGGTCAGGGACTTGGAGAAGCAAGACCCTTAGACTCGAATCTCTTTCTAGATCTTCACATTTCAGCCCTTATCACTCGACCTTTAAGCCTGTTATTCATTAAAGCGAAGGGCAGTTTAGGCTCTCAGAAGAAAAGAAGAAGCGATTGCTATACGCGAAACCCACGTATCAAAGGTCCGAGCAAATGAAAAGTAAAAGAGAATGTAAGAACACAACACAACTGTAAATTTCTTTGAGCTGTTCTGATAGATTAGCTAAAGTACCAACAGTCTTACTCACAACCTTTTGCTCAATTACCTTAATCTTTCGGGCTCGTTCACACCCCTAAAATGTTGACTCATCTATACACGCTCAGTGCATGTCACGAGACTTTACAAGGGTGGCAAATCCTAAATTCAGTCACTTATCGAGTTCAAGAGGCTTCGCCTTTGATATATCCCTCAATCCCACAAAACTGATACCAATCTCCTCACACCTGTAGTAATAACATTACACTTACATCGACAAACCAAAACTCTGGGCGTCGAAAACTCGCGTCCCATGGTACTACTCGCTACAACATCATATCGAAAACCATATACTGGATACTCATTCCTAGCAGGGTCTTCAGCGCCGTCTCCATTATACTGTTTCTCGTATTACTCGATTGAAACATGGCCTCGCGGAAACAAATCTTATTCACAATGTTGCAAAGATGTAACCCACATTTTGAAAACTAGGGGGTTAAGCACATGCGTAGAGCAGATAGGTGCATTTACTCTGCAATTAAATAGATGCCATCTCGCTAAGTAATCAAGCGAGTGTGTAGAACAGTTTGGGAACGGATAGCAGTTGGATCCGTAATCCGACGCAGAGTAGCAATTAGCCACGCGATCTCCAAACCCACCATACAGCTATGGTGCATATGCGATGTTGAACGTATGCGGCTCTTCGCAGGACCTCCCTTTATTAAAATATTGCGGATATCTTGCTACTTTCAGCAGTCATTTCGCGCCCATGAATCAGAATCAGCTCGCCGTCTGTTATTTGGATAAGCATCGGTAAATAACCGTAGTCATTTCAACGTATGATGTCACACGACACATTCACAATCAAGCATGCTGTTGACACCCTACCAACCAGTCAGCGAGGTAGCAGTTCACACTATAAACTCATGTACCCCAGATACAATGAAACGATCGCCACCTTGATGGTATAGCTATGTGTCGCAAATCTCATCATCACTGGATGCCCTCCTCTCAAAACAATGCTACCCTGCGATGCCACAAGGGCCGGACAGATGGCACCACCGTGTAATCCGACCGAAGAGACACCGTGAAAGTGGGGTATGCCACTTCCACTTGCAGTAAGCCTTACGTAGCATCACAACCCCCAGTTGCCCATGGGAAATTTCCCACTTCGTGAACCTTGAAAGCAAAAAAAAAGCACACACATATTCCGCAATTTTCCTCATCACATTGACTTCTCCTGCCAGACCATCAAATGTCATCTTCTAATTTATTACCTGGCAGAACTTTGTCTGGGTTCTAAGACCGGAACCAGATGCTCGTACTTGGACGTTGGGAACTAGTGGTTTTTTGGAGTTCACTTCCCCCGTAACTGGGCTATTTTCTCCGAAGCCCGCCGACGCTTGCGGAGATGGCAGCGGTAGTTTTCGTCTGATTTTTTTAGTTTCCAGTTATGGAGTTCAGCGCAGAAAGGGCCATGCACAGGTCGTACGAGGCAATATTCGGCGTTTTTTGACAGGATCGAATGACGGTGGGTGACAAGTTGGGCTCTATGGCGCTGGTGACGCCATCGCTCTAGGGTAGTTTGAGGAGGGGTTGTTGCATGAATCTTAGGTAGCAGTGGTTAATTCTCCTAGAAGCCAATCTTGCATGGCTGCTGATCGTGCGGGTGGAGATGTGGAGGTCTGCTTGAAGGTGTTGCCCGGTTTTCGGTAGTCGAGTGCATATGCATTGGCGACTTCACGATCGGACTTCAGAAACCGTCTTTGGGGGTTTCCGACGCTGAAGATAGCCTAAATAGTCTCGTCATGCTTAGCTGACGATTATCACGAGCACCCAGTTCGTACACAGGGCCCGGTAGTCGTCACAAACCTGCCATTGAGCTTCGCTAAGCTTCATCGAGGAGTACTTCCGCCACGAGCGCGTGGTCCCGACGATGCGTCCAAGGTCATACTACCGACTTGAGCAGAAGAGTATACTTGCAAGTGCCCGAGCGTCCAATTTTCGCATCAATAAGAACGCCGTAGAATATTTTGACTTTGAGCTAGACAGGCCGCAAGGCATCACTGGGAACCACTAATATCGCACCCCGGGGTGACCCACCCAATAAGAGCCCCAACGGTATCGATAGGTATACGACAAGCACGACAAGCACCCCCTCCAAAGGCTTGTGCGGAGCCCCATGGGGGGCCCAGCATGTGGTCGTCTGAACCTGCTATGCCGAGACCCACCAGCATGCTCATCCCGTATATATAAGCTCTCCAAGTGCCCGCCATCGTCTTGCTTGGCTCCCGGCTTGCCTTGTTGCTTATCCGCTCTTTGCCCTTTTCGTGGCGTCACAAAGCAAATAAGTAGTAGTTGTTCACGGCTACGACACCTACAAGATGTCGGGCCTCGCCGATTCCAAGTACGATGAGAAGTCTGGGGTGGACGAAGCGATGCGGGAGAAGAGCATCGGCGGCCACCATGCCGAGATCCTCGAGAACAAGGAGCTCATGACTGATGCGCAGAATGCTGAGACGCGCGAACACGAGATGGGGCTGTGGGAGGCTGTCAAGGATCATCCTGCGGCTTGTTTTTGGGCTTTTGTGTTTTGTTTTACGATTGTAAGTCCCTGGTTACCGATACTGAATCTCAGTGAATTCGCGAGGGAATTTTCATGCAGGCGGATAACTAATATGGATTAGGTCATGGAGTCCTTCGATATGTTCTTGAACGGTAATTTTGTCGCTCTTACCGCTTTCAAGGAACGATACGGAGTCGAGGTTCCGGGACAGGCTACCAAGGCCATCCCTACAAAATGGCAGAGTTCGCTCTTCCAGGCTGGCCAATGCGGCGCCTTTGTTGGTGTCTTCATCGTTGGTCCAATTACCGATCGTCTTGGTTACCGCTGGACAAATCTCTTGGCTCTCGTTCTTATGAATGCCACCATCTTTGTCTCTTTCTTCGTAAGTCATACATTTTCGAGCAGTATGATGAGACTTCTGACTAATAGCATTATTTCAGGCCGACTCGCTCTCTTTGCTTGTCGTTGGACAAGCATTAGAAGGAGTTCCATGGGGAATGTTTATTGGAAATTCACCTGCTTATGCTAGTGAAGTTGTACCACTTGTACTCCGTGGTGCCTGCACAGCAACTCTGCAGCTTTCTTGGTCTATCGGTGGGCTTCTTGTCGCTGGTGTCACTTACTCATTCAACAAGCGGAATGATGAATGGGCGTGGCGAGCGCCTCTTGCCCTGCAATGGATGTTTCCTGTAAGTATCATTTCCCCGCCAAGAAAATAGCAAAAACTAATAAGATTAGCTACCCCTCATGGTACTCATCTTTTTTGCTCCTGAGAGCCCTTGGTGGCTAGTACGCAAAGGGCGTAAAGAGGAAGCCCTTGTATCCATCAGGCGCCTCGGCCGTAGGAACGGCACTCAAGCAGCAGCCGAACATACATTGGCCATGATGGAACGTACTGCTGAGATTGAAGCCCATGCGGGCGGCAATGCCAAATTCATGGATCTTTTCAAGGGAGTTGATCTTCGCCGAACGCTGATTACCTGCTTGATCTATGCGTCGCAAAACTTCGCCGGTAACTTGATTGCCAACCAAGCCACATTCTTCTTTGAGCGTAAGTACCTCCAGCGAGTTTGGAACATAGATGACTGACTGTGCGTAGAGGCTGGAATGTCTACCGACTTTTCTTTCAAGCTCAACATGATCAATTCGTCCCTGCAACTGGTTGCTAACATGCTTGCCTGGCCTCTAAGCGCATACTTTGGTCGCCGTACCATCTATCTCGCAGGCACGGCCACGAATATTTTCATGCTATTCCTTCTCGGCATCTTCGCGTCGCTTCACCAGACCAGTGCGACAAACTACGCACAAGCTTGTCTCGGTGTCATCATCTCGTTCGTATACGCTCTGGCCATGGGTCCCATCACGTACTCTATCATTGCAGAGGCCTCCTCGGTCCGCCTTCGTGCCCTGAGCACTGGTATCGGTCGTGCAGCATACTACGTTGCTGAGATTCCCATGATCTACCTGGCTTCACGAATGCTTAACCCAACTGGTTGGAACATGGCCGGCAAGTGTGGATATGTCTGGGGAGCCACAGCTTGCGTTTGCTTCGTCTCAGCCTACTTTGGTCTTCCCGAGTTCAAGAACCGCTCTTACCGCGAGCTCGACATTCTGTTCAACCGCAGAGTTCCTGCCAGGAAATTCAAGTCGACTGTTATCGACGTCACGGAGAACGAGTAGACTACTCGAATCTACGACAATTTTACTCGAGGAGATTTTCTTTGAGATGCTGGCATCATCGCTTCACGATGTAGTCGAATTTATCTGGGAAGAAAGAGGGCGGAAACAGATGTTTTTAGGACATCGCCGGCAGACATGGTCCGTGCTTTACTACGTACATACGTAGGTATTTACTATCCGTGGAAACCAATTTCCGTCCCTAGGATTTTCAGGCTTCTCGCAGTCGCAAAATTGTAAATATAATGAATGACTTCTACAAAAACTACCAATTCTCTTCTATCGTAACAATGTTCTGTGAGGAATGTTCAGTTTTGCACATAGCCCACAAACCGCCATGTGCATTTTAACCGGTAATACGTCAGCTACCCCAGCCGCCCCCCA